ATTTTATATTATTTCAAATAAACCAATAATTTATTCCAGACCAAAATGGACATGTTGGCCATTTGCCTATAAATAACATGCAAAGCAAGGAAAGCATGTCTAGAGTTACATACTGTAATGTCTAGGGACGGTTTACATAATAAAGCAGCAGAGATCCATCAGCTGTTTGTGTAGTTACAGCCAATACTAAACATCAGCAACTGTATTCACAAAACATTGTGGCTTTGGTTACTGTGTACTTCCATCAAACTATGCACTGTGCGTGTTCATAATGTACAGACAGACAGATGTAATTACATGCAGGTTTTTAATCAATCATAAGTATAATGTAAATAGATGTATTTACACAAAAAGTACATTGTAACAAATGATTTATTCCAGTGTAAGTTAATTTTAGTTAAGGCCAGCTAATATGAGATAGCAAAAGATTTTAGCTAAATGTTTTCTCTTAAAACATATTCACTAGGTAATTTTTTTTAAGAAACAGGGAGAAGTCTTGAAGGGATAGCCAACCAAAAATTGTAATTAATCCATTTTTACTCTTATTCCTGTTATTTTAAACCTTTAATTTTTTATTTTTTTACTGTTGAATAGAAAAGAAGACATGTGACATTTGAAGTATACTGGTTGCTGGGACCCTTGAAGTAAAAATTACTTTTAAAATCGATGGGTGCCTGCAATCAGCATTCTTCAAAATGTCCTCTTTATGTTCAACGGAAGAAAGAAACTTAAATAGATTTTGGACAAGTGAAGGGTGAGTAAATGATGACAGAACTTACATTTTTTGGTGAACTGTGCCTTTAAAGGGTCACGAAACACCAAAACAAATTTTTTTAAATGTTGACAGTATATAAGTGTCACACACTGCTATAACCACTATTAGGACACATATATTACACTAAAAAGTGAAAATTGATTTGTTTTTACGTTATTTTGAGCAAATTCGTACTTCTGGTTTGAAACGAATTTTTGAAGCTGCATCACGGCCATGAGATCTTAGCATGTATTCCAGCGTGTAGCATAGACGTCTGTACCAGAGCGTCCCGTATTACATTTCTGAGTGTCTTGCATTCAATTATAAGTAAGGCTTGGCTCAAACCAATCAGAGCGCACCAATATGTATGCTCTGCAACTTCATTAATATGCATATTAGCTTTCTTAGACTGTACCTGAAACAGTGTTCAGACGGCAGAGAGACAACACACGTCGTGTTGCCAAAAGTTGTGGGAAAAGAATAAGAATTGTTTAGGGATACAGGTCGCCAGTGTTGCTTTCATAATGTGAAGGTTTTGTTTCGTTTTCTCTCTATGAGAGAGCTGCTGGACTAGCGCGTGGATCCATGTACGCAACGCGCGGCTGAAAACCGTTTGTTTGGAACATTTTTTACTCGAGAGCATTTCTTATCAATGGTGGGATCCGGATTTGCTGCTCGTCTTCTTTAAAAAAAGACTCAGCTCCAGTATGTGTTGATTATCCTGTCTACAGATTTGGTACGTGTGTGCAATCAGTAACCTTTCTTTGTTCATTCAGATGGCAAAGTTATAGTTTGTATGGTCAACAGTACTCTTTCTGTGTTTAAAGACAGACCTTAGTCAAAATGATTTCTAAGTTACTTAGTTTACAGTACATTAATATCACTACAATATTGAAAGATCCAATGTAAATGCTGCTCTCTTTGGGGAGACACGTGAGCACTGTAAGCAAACTTTTGCCGACCTTCGTGTTGAATTTTTGCTGCATTTTGTGACAGGATAGTCTACACACACGCGGCTTTCTGACCTATTGAGTGCATCTGAGTTACAGAGAAATGCAGAGGCTTTTTTGTCTTATACGACGTGCGGTATCAAACATTTCATCGTCATTAAACACACTGTCTTTCTCCCCTGCATGTGTGTTTGGTTTTCCTCGGTCAGAAGCACGTGCACAATTGGCAACTCCCATTTTTATTCAAACCCTGCCCATTTTCCCTCCCCCGACACTCCCACCCAAACAGAGCTAGATAGACCCACTTTCCTGGCTTTTTCCAAACTAGAGGTGTGAAAACATCCTGCTGAAAATGGGGTGTTTCAAGGCCCTTAAGCTAAGAGTGAGGGCAAGGTTGACTGCATTGATAATATATCAATATTATATATATATATATATATATATATATATATATATATATATATATATATATATATATATATATATATTCATATTTGAAAAAGATTTAAAAAATTTGAAAGTCCCTCTCTATTTTTTTTCCAGTGTTGCAAATTGTAATATATATATATATATATTATTTTAAAATTTTGCTTCGTCCTCCTTTACATTCAGCCAGTTGCTAAAACATTCCAGTCTGTTGACATTATCGCCGGGCAATGTGGACCTTTTCTTTTGAATGATGTGAGCTGAGAGTGAGTCTCTCACAAGCAGGATCATTGAATCAGCATATGCATTTCAGTGACTAATTTGGTTGCCACTGGTGCTGCGACAAGGACGTAAGGGGTACATCAAAGGCACCCACAGGTATGCGTTGTAACAGCAAAGACTGATTCTTACAGGGACTTTGGTCACACCATCTCAAACATTTAAACAACTTTGAGGGATATACGGACGACGACATTTAGGCATTTGTTCATGTTGCGCACACACACACACACACACACACACACACACACATCAAATTTGCTCAAACTAAGCGTTCTAAAGTATGGCTGTATTTTACAAGGATTCTGATACATCAACATGAAGAAGATGCTTTACAAAAGTTGCATGTAGGGGGAAAGACATCATTTGAGGGTGCATGCTGAAAGGCAGAGTAATGTGCTGTCTTTGACAGCTTGCGACATCATCTGAGTTTCACTGAGTACATTTCACATGGACACCAATAATCCGACTTTAATATGATTAAGATAATACTCTTATTAAGAGTTTTCCATGTATGCAGCGATATTTGATTACCTTAATTGACCACCGAGTCACAAAATTCAGGTTTTTCTTTCCGTTCGCCATGTGGTATCAAATTCCATTAAAATAAAAGTCGAAAGATTAAATATGAAACATATGAAATTAGATGAAACTCTAGAGGAAACGCTGGATAGCCTGGTAATATATATTAAAATGGTAATGTATATTAAAATTATATTAAAAATGGCCAATTTTTTTATTTATAGATATTAGCATAAGATACATGGATGCATGTAGATACATATACAAATAGATAAATATAAATATATACTTAACAGTTCTAGCTGGTTTTTGAATCTTATAGCCACATGATATTCTGCAAATAACAGGACCCGTACAGCCTCTTTACCCTTCACCCTTGTGTATTACTCTGTCCACTTACAGTGACAAGCAGAGGACACTCAACAGTTTGACAATATTGTTGCTGTTGGACAACATAATGTGCTTTTGAGGCTTTTTTAGTCGAGAATCTAGTCGTTTAGATTGCAACTATGCAGTTTACTGCAGGAAACTGTGCAGAGCTGCAGCCCTCTTGGAACTGAGTTTGAGATCTTTGCCTTAGAGGGAGAAAAACTCAGCGCTTTCTCAATGTATGTTACAAACTACAGCTGAACAAATCATTATAAAGCAGGTAAGCGACATGCTAAATCAGTCTCTCTCTCTTACCACGTTTTATACATATGTTGTAGTGCTGTATTTATACCATAGTAATCTGGTAGTGTTTGCTTTGCTTTGGCTTTTTCAGGGTTAGTTGATGTAATATCCCGAATAAAGCAGAGAAATACTGGGAAATCTCTGTAGACTGATGACATTTAATGCCGTTCAGCCTTATAATCTTAAAATGGGCGCAAAAATTACCTGTTTTGTCATCATTTTAGACATTACTCTAGAGAATCATTCAAATAGTTACACTTGTAAAGAAGTATGGTGCTGCTGTTCTGACATCAGCTGCAGATGTGTATGAACGGTGAAAAAAAGTACTCCCTCTAACAACATGGCTTGTGAGATTCTCTGTGTTTGATTTTCTTTTTTTATATGCCCAATTATGCCATCGAACTGCTGTATAAACGCAATATCACACTTGTAGCAGTGCAATGTGGCTGTATCAGCACTGGGAGGCGTGTATTGGCTCGAGGCCGCAGGTGCTTTCACACCTGCCTTATTTAGTTCGATTGAATCGCACTAGGAGTTCATTTCCCCTTTTGGTACAGTTCGTTTGGGCAGGTGAGAATGCAGCAATCGTACTCGAGTGCGCACCAAAAGCGGACTAAATAAGCGTACCGAGACCTGCTTGAAGAGGTGGTCTCGGTAAGCTTTGAAACGAACTCTGGAGTGGTTCGTTTGTGGTGAGAATATGATTCGTACTAAAACAGGTCCAACCGCAAAAAGTACTGCGCGTTTTGGACTAATTCAGCTGCCGTAGGCCGATGCGCTGTGCATTATGGGATGTGGAGGAAAAATATTTGTTGACAGTGCTTTACCAACATAGAGAGAGAGGGGAAAACATTACCTGATGGATCGTTGGTAATATTTACGCAAGATGACCATGTCGCAGTTTAGCTAAATTAATTCACGTCTCCTCCTGAAGTGACGAGCGATGCATTAAACACTGTTTTCCAGCCGCGGCCGTCCTTTATTTTCGTAATGTATAGTTTGTCTAAAACAGGGATACAATCAACCAGCGCAGTCGTCCCTCCGAAGTAAAAGGTTTTGTTTACCTGCGGGAGTTCACTGGCATATTCCCGCACGTGAATTCTGACCAATTAATAAGCAGTTCAGGAAATATGTTCAACAACATCTGGCCAATTAGAGATGTGGATTTTGTCAGATGACTGCATTTTGGTTCGTTTAAACTGGTTCGGACCAAAGCCAGCAGTGTGGTGTGAAAATGACCCAAAGACAGCAGAAGATGCAACAATGTATCATTTATTTCTCTTGGTCTGGACCAAATTAAGCGAATTACAGATGTGAAAGCACCCTTAGTGTATATATACATATTTAAAGTATTTTTGTTGTCAGTTTGTGGTGTAGTTTGAAATAAATAAACAAAATGAATCTGAAAATATATTTATTACAGTAAGGGAATAACTCTGTGATTAAGGAGATGACATAATAAAAGCTCACTGTGGTCAAATGTTGGCTAAGTTAAAAAAACAACTCCAAAGCAGATTGTCAGCAAAGGGAATTTAATAGAGTTAGCATTTTGATCTTATGACTTAGAGACTCTTTGCTACCCCAACACGTCACTGATTTTAGGAGCTATAGTCTTAACTGAAATAATCTTTAAGCAAAAAATGTTATGAGTCCTAAATTAAGGACTGCCCATTATTTTTAAGATTTTCTAGCTACTTTTAGCATTAAGATGTTTTGTAAATATGGCTCCAGACGATCTTTTACACAGTAATCTCTTCTCAGGAAGAGCTGTCAGATTCGAACAGTTTGATGACAATGGCTTCATGTGGTTGCATTTTGATTGTATTTAGAGACACAGGGCCGAATCGGTCAAGACCTGTGCTAGTTACAAACACTCCGCCTTCAGGTAGACTGGGTGCCCAGTCTGGGTCCATGGTGTGAGGTGCAGATCCCAAATTGAACAGCACAAGAAAGTGAACGCAGCCCCAGGAACGCAGATAAGCTAACAGAGGTGTGTCTGTAGTATTGAGACCAGACGAGGATGGCAGGCTGGTATTGAAGGATAGAAAGGTGAATCTGCCAAAGTGAAGAGCCTCCTCACGGGCACGAGACTGACTCAGGGATTGGAAAAGAGCTAGAGGTTGATTGAGCCGGTTCCAACCCTGATGATGAATTTTGGAATAAATGCACACATTAATACATAAACAAGTCTCACATAAACATTCAGAATCAATTCACTTTTCACTATTTTCACTTGTTATAAACAGTGCACATTGGGGTAAAAAAGTATTGAACATATCATATTTTTCCTGGGAATAGTATTTCTAAAGGAGCTGCTGACATGGAAATAAACCAGATTTTGGTAAAAACACAAACTATACAAACATACAAATAAAACAAAACAAAAAATCAGAAAAATTTGTTATAAATAATAACAATGAAATGACACAAGGAGAAAGTACTGAACTACCAAAACGAATTAAATACTTTTTTTTTTACTTTCCAGGTTGTGCTGGTTGCAATTCCAAAATTTTTATAGCCAATCTTAAGCCAATTGTAGTTGTTCGTTTTAGTTTAATTTCGAATTTCCATAACCATTGCAGAGTCCAGGGGACCAAAGTATGCGCTCCTATTGGCCGTCCCTGGTCCACGTTTTAATACTAGTACTTTATATAAAAAGCTTTTTTAGTTATGGCAGCTTAAACACTACTCTTATATGGATAAGGAAGTCATATGAGTTTTTCACAGACTTAAACAGAGTGTTAAAATTGTGATGGTTCTGTGGTTCTGTCTATCAGATCTTAAATTTGTATTTTCTATTTTTGGATTCAGATCAGGTAATTGGTTGGTCCGTTCCACAGCTTTAACTTCTTTCTCTGAAACATTTGAGAGTTTTTGTGTTTTGGATAATTGTCTTGCTAAAATGTCTACTCCTGCTAATGTAGACGTTTGACTGAAGCAGCTGAAATTAATTTACGAAGAGAAAGGGCAGAGGGTTGCTGATTAACTTCTGAGAGATTTCAGCTGCTGTCTGGGCTTTCACTGCCCTTCTACACCTCCTTTTCTTTATGTGTTTAATACCTTATTCCTGTGTAATTTTTATTTTATTCCATAAAACTTAATTTGTAAAGTAAATAGATTTGTTTTCTTTGCGTATCTGGATTTCTTTGGTTGTTACCAACATCCAGAAAAAACTTTTTAAATCAACAGCACCTTTAGAAATATGTTTTCTTTGTAAAATGGTTGCGTGTTCAATATTTATTTTCTCCGCTGTATCTGTGCACTTTATTATTTTGTGGAAATGTATTTCCTCGGTGTGATGCAATAGACTTGCAAAAATAGAAAGATGGCTTGGCTCAAAGATGTAAAACGTTGCACCATAAAATATTTTCAGTAGCAAAACAATATTTGCAGGTGTTCACACACACACACACACACACACACACACACACACACACACATTTTAATAAAATAAAACAAAATAACAAGGTACAAAAAGAACAAAACAAAAATAACATTGAACACAGTTGAAGTCAGAATTATAAGCCCCCCTTAATTATTAGCCCCCCTGTTTCTGTTAAACAAAGAAAACACATTTCTAAATATAGTAGTTTTAATAACTCATCTCTAATAACTGATTTACATAGTATCTTTGCCATGATGACAGTAAATAATATTTTACTAGATATTTTTCAAGACACTTCTATACAGCGTAAAGTGACATTTAAAGGCTTAACTAGGTTAAATGGCAGGTTAGGATAATTAGGCAAGTTATTGTATAACAGTGGTTTGTTCTGTAGACTATAAAAAAAAAAAAAAAAAAAAAAAAATATATATATATATATATATATATATATATATATATATATATATATATATATATATATATATATATATATATACACTGCTTTTATTGTAGCCGAAATAAAAAAATAAGACTTTCTCCGGAAGAAAAAAAATATTATCAGACATACAGTGAAAAATTCTTTGCTTTGTTAAACATAATTTGAGAAATATTTAAAAAAGAAAAAAAATGAAAGAGGGGCTAATAATTCTGACTTCAACTGTATATACAATCGAGTATCTTCAGTAAATTCACATAGGAAAGGGACTTTTCTTCACTTCCGTTTTATGCTGACTTTAAAATTAGCCTGCAGTAGTGATGCCATAGAAGAAACACTTTCAGTTCCCTTTTCAGTTTATAGTTCACCCACAAATGTAAATTCATTCATTAATTACTCATCCACCACTTGTTCTAAACCTGTTTGTTTTTCTTTCTTTTTCAGAATATCTTGTTTTGTGTCCAACAGAGGAACAAAAGTTGTCAAAGTTTAGAACCGTCAGTCTGAGTAAATAGAGAGAAAAGTACTTTTGTGTATCATTTATAGCGTGAAAATGTTTCAAGTCTTCCACTATAAAATAAAAAGCTTTGTTCTGTGGAAAGGTTCCATGATTGTTAAAAAATACTTTGAATAATCAAATGCCAATGAAGAAATTCTATACTGTTTTAGAGTTTAGTATAAAAAATTGAAGTTTCAAACTACATCAGTGGTGTGCTGAGGAATATTTCTCATCTCACCTGAGCTGAACTGAGCTCATCTCCATATTTGATGATGGGTGTTCCAGGTAAAGTCATGATCAGAAGTAGAATGGCTCTATTCAGCTCCCTTGGTACTCCTCCACCAACCTATCATTAATCAAAACATGTCACATTGTTACATAAAGTACAGGATTGTTCTTTTCTTTTAAATGAATAATTTAAAACATATTTTTATTAACTAATAACATTCAAATTGTTAATTTGAACCATTTTATTTGACATTAGGTAACCCCTAAACCTATTCCTACCACTAATAATGTCCCTAACCTTAACCAGACTTAAAACATATTCAAACCAGTAAACCTACCTTCAACCTAAACCAAGCCTTAGACCTGCCAATAATACTAATACATATGTTCACAAATTTAACCAACCCTTAACGTAACATAATGTAATGTAATGTGTATTTATATAGCATATTTATTGTGTATGGCCGTACACCCAAAGCACTTCACAGTCTTGAGGAGGGTCTCTCCACACCACCACCAGTGTGCAGCATCCACTTGGATGCTGGAATGACTTCCACAGGACAACAGCGCCAGCGCGCTCACCACACACCAGCTATATGGGGAGCGGAGAAACAATGATAGAGCCAGTTCTGTGGATTGGGATGATTGGGAGGCCATGATGGGTAAGGACTGAAATAATGACTGAAATATCATGGGATTTGTTTAAAGACCACTAAGAGTCAGGATCTTGGTTTAACGTTTCATCCGAAAGACGGCGCTCACTGACAGTATAGTATCCCCTACTTTACTGTGGCATCAGGACTCACACATACCGCAGGTTAGGCGCCTCCTGCAGGCCCTGCTTAGCTTTATTGAGTAACCAGTCTTGATCTACAGAGCGATATGGCTGTGGTTAATCTTACTATATAACAAAACACTGGCCCTAAATGTAACCAACCCATAACACGAATCCTAGCTCTAAGCCTGATCTTCATATCACTAGAATTGTATATAACATTAATGCACCCTTAAACCTACCAATGCCACTAACTGTTCATAATTTATCTATACCTTAAACCTGTTAATACCATAACTATCCCTTGCAATTCAGTGTGAACATGATAAGCATATTTGGTCACACTTTATTTTGATGGTCCGCTTGTTGAATTTAAGTTACATTGCATCTACACCTCAACTAATATCATTAGATTATAAGTAGACTGTTACTGTTGGGGTTAAGGTTTATGTCGGTTGACTTGTACTTGCAAAGTTTCTTATTGTTAATTAAATGTCTGTTGAAGGAGCATTCAAGATATTAAGCAGACAGTCTACTAATACTTAAATGGACCATCAAAGGGTGCAAAGGTACTTTTATAAGGGTTATCAAATATCAGAAATAGTTGGGTATAATCATGATATGTTTAAGTTCCCATTTACCCCAATAGCAGCAATCAAATTAAATAAATAAACCTAACAAACAAAATATATTTAGTTTATTTTGCCTGAGAGCATGATATATGGTAGTGTACATGTCATACTAAGAAACCTCATCTAACCACAAGTTAAGAACAGCAATGATTAGTCAGCAGCAATGATGCTTGCATTAAGTATTCGACTATTCGTGGAAGCTTGGTTACTGGAAACGCCAACTGGAATGTGTGTTCATAGTTTACTAAAGATGAAAACATACTGCACCTCAGGCTATGAGACTAACTAGGACCAAAACTCTCCTTATGTTTGGATTAAAAGGATCATTTTACAAGATTACAAGACCCAAAGCCATAAGGTTAAATGTCAGAACCCATTTATACAATATTGCTGTTTTTCTATAATTATGTCCTAATATTTGCAAAGTAGTATATCTATTTCTTGAAACGTGTCTGTCAAAAGTATTTGTGTCAGTAAACATGTCAGCGCCATCAGATTAACAAGTCCTTGTGTTGCTGATCATAAACGAGATTATCAAAAAGATTAACCACAATACAGTATGTCAGTATTTCCTGATTAAATCTATGGCTGTAGTCTGGGTTAAAAATGCACAAATCTACATTTCCTGTACAGCATAACAAATTCAACAGTACAAAAGTATATTAGACAGAGTTAAAAGAAACATTACAGGAAGTATACGTTATTGCAGAATTTTTGTTTAAAACTATGTTTACAAAATGTGCGGATGTGCATGAAAAGAAGCATGAAAATTCAGCCGGATTTTATTTTAAACCTGACCATTAATTAATTCTTTCATTTATTCATTCTTTCATTCATTCTTTCAATCATTCATTCATTTATTCATTCATTCATTCATCTATTCATTCAGCTTAGTTACTGATTTAACAAGGCTCACCACATCCCTATATAAAAGTGATTTCTTTCCTTCTCCCTATAGTTTTGTAACTGTAATAGTCACAAGGACTATGTATAAGTCTTTAAGAAAATTTCGCAGTGGCTGTGCCTGTCCATATCTTAAGCCTGCATTATCCTTATTTTTTCCCAGGCTCGTTTATATTGAAGTTGATATTTAGCTGCACCATATTGGTGTTTCATAACATCTAATTTTAGCGAGGTGGGTCATTAGCCCAAAGCTCAACTCCCAACCTGGAGGACAAGGACATAACATACACTATGGACAGTTTAGCTTACTCAATTCATCTTACTCAGTTCAAACCCACGCCAACATGGGGAGAACATGCAAACTCCACATAGAAATGGCAACTCACCAAGCCAGGGCTTTACTTCTCATTGATGCTTATGTGGGCATCGCTAGGCCTATTTAAGGGGGGCTATAGTCCCCCAACATTTCTACTGAACCCCCCTAAAACTTTTGTGATTAGCTCATAAACTGTAGACAAAATTATAGCCTCAGTCCCCTTTTAATTTGATATGTAAAAGGCAGGAAAAAAAGTAACTCTTAACGAGCATTTTGCTATTTTTATTTCAAAATGAACTACCAATATTAAACACTTTACAATTTGTGTGGCATCAACTATACCATGCAGACTTGCATAGAAAGGATTAAACACAGTGCCGGAACCACCTAGAGAATGTACTCGTTATAACTGTTACTGAGGCACTGACAGATGCATCATCAAGTGTTGTCTAGAGTTAAAAAAAAAAATACTTCTTATTTATTATTATTATTCAGATCGTGAAATATGTGAATCAGCCCGTAAGTTTTAAAATAAATATTAATATGTGTGACATTTAATTGGAAAAGTTTCTTTTATTTAATACATGGAAACAATAATTGCACTTGAATGTAGAAAGTGGTTTTTACAACAGTAAATTGGGGGGTTGAACCTGTTTGGCATATTCAGCACTCAAATGGCTGTTCCTGCCTATGTAGTACAGTGGAATACTAGTATACAATCCATATTAAACAAACATTTTTAAGTGTATTACTATTAAATTGCTACTTATAAAAGTAATATTAGGCCCCCCTAAAATGAAAATCCTAAAATTGCCTCTCGATATATTCAATACATATGCAATAAAATTCTTCAATCCAACACACAATGTTTGGATGTTTGCTCTCAAATTTCATTCTCTCTCAAAATGTATGCCATAACATCAGCTTTTTTCTTTCTCTTAGAACTTTAGGTTAGTTTTTTATTATTACATTAAGATTATTATGAGCTGCACATCGATGGTTTTGCTCTTCATTGTTTGGACTTTCAGCAGATAATATTAAACCACACTGAAGCTGAACTTCTACTTTGAAAACTAGAATGACACTGTTTCAATTTACAAGAACTTCTATGTTAAGCAGCTTTGACATAATCTACATTGTAAAAGTGCCATACATATAAACATAAATTGAATTGAAATACACTGTGAACACTAAGTGAATAATGACTAAATGTATTACCAAGAGAACTGAACAACAAGTGTAAACACAACCAAAGTGTTAAAGTAAGATCAGTGAATAGTCCACTCACGGTCCAGCTTGGCCAGTCTCTCTGTGGCATCTGCAGACTGACCTCTATGGCCTCCGCCACCTCAGCGGTAGACAGCGGATGGTGCGATGGAGGGATCAGGGACTTTGTTACTAGCTCCACTAGTGAACCAGCAAAGCTGGACACATTGAGCACGGGAAGAGTGTTGCCTGTTTGCCTCACCATCAATATTCTGCAAGAATGAGATAAGATCATCATTACCTGCATTAAAACAGTTTACGCTGCACATTTATTGAAATGCATTATTAATACAGTGTTATGAAGTTCAGATTAGAGGCTAAATATTACAAGGATTTAAGGAGTAGTTTGCTTCCCTGTAATTGTTCCTTACCTGTATGCACTGAAAAAATAATTCAATATATTTACTTAAACTTTTTTTAAAGTAAATGGTTGCAAACTATTTATGTGGACTGAATTAAAACAAACAAAAAAATTGCACAAGCTACATTTGATTATCATCATTGACTTCAATAGTAGGTAAAACAAATACCATGGAAGTAAATGGTCACCATCAACAGGAAGTGAACTGCTTCTTTAAAGTCATCGCAATTTTCCATTTTACACCAAGACTTTATTCTTTAGGAATTGATCACCATTATGGAACACATGATACCTTTCATCATCTTGTGAGCTGAACTCCTGCATCAGCTTGTTCCACTCCATTAGGGTCTATGAATCATAAATACACATTGATTTTTAAATAGGCACCGGGTGTCCAAACAACCTGCTTCACATCACTTTTCCAAACAAAACCCACACACTTTTTTTTCACCAAACAAGATACGTTAATGTGTTTCCAGACATTTACCTTTGCTGAGAAAGCTGCATCTGTATCACAGATCCCAAATCCTGATACCCCGTGATCCAGCCAATACCTTAATGAGTACTGGAGAGGGAAATAATAATTCATGAAAAATTGAGTAAGAAATATTGACATAAAACATGAACTCTTACCATAAGATTCTAGAGACAGACTTGCCACAATATAAAAAAATTCCATACTGTTATTTTACAGTCCCTTTATTAATCTGGGGTCGCCACAGCGGAATGAACCGCCAACTTGTCCAGCATATATTTTTACGCAGAGGATGCCCTTCCAGCTGCAACCCATCTCTGGAAAATATCCATTCACACTCATTCACAACGGACAATTTTAGCTTACCCAATTCACCTGTACCACATGTCTTTGGAGTGTGGGGGAAACTGGAGCACTCAGAGGAAACCCACACGAACGCAGAGAGAAAATACAAACTCCACACAGAAACGCCAACTGACCCAGCATATCGCCATATCGCCTACAATATAATCTTGATATTATATATATATATATATATATATATATATATATATATATATATATATATATTTTTTTTTTTTTTTTTTTTCTAATGTAACCCCATCGTTTTAAAAATTAACCATTTTCTATTTTCATCAAGGATGTACACATTTGGGAAACAATTGATGTCTTATTATGGATACATTTTTACATAATTCATAATTACATTTTTACACCATAAAAAATACTGGGACACACACATGCACACCCCAACACTCCTGTAATATACGCAATTCTAAGACCACACAAGGGTTAACAGAATCTTCAGCAGTAATGTGACCCTTGCATGACCCGTTTGCTTACTGTCACTTCAATGCTACAAGTGATGAATTGTCACTCCAGAGATGCTATTTACATATTATTGAGATTGAGAAGAATTATCTATATGCACATTAACCTCTTTGTATGGAAAGAATCATGGTTTAATACACAATTTGGAGTGGATGCTGGATCGAGGCAGACTATAATTTCTTACATGTTTTCTTTGTTACAAAAAGACATAGATCTGCTTTATAAGACACGTGTTAACCCCGTAGCAGCATATGGGTTTGTTTTGTAACAGATTTTTGCACGATTGAAGGCTTAAATTAAATGGCCTCTACCCAACATCATTATACAACATGGATGAGCCAGGATAATGAGGATTGAAAACTACACCAACTGTGTTCGTCTGACAGAAATAATGTACAGAAGATAGTGTAAGTAAATTAATCTTCCCCAACCCAACTTCCACTCAAAATAGTGTTTTGAGGCTCATTTCCTAAAATGGCTGAATTATGATACAGAAGACATGTCAACAATTTATTGTCTCTGCATTGTTTGAGATGACCAAATGCTACCAGTTGTAGAAATATCTTGAGGGAGAGTAAATTATGGGCTAATTAGGGACCGAGCATCAACGGTGCGTAGGCCCAATTGGAATTGCTCCATTTTTTCTTCTTCTTCTCCGGAATGAATCGAAATTTTGAGGGTCTAAACATTCCCGAAAACTCACAAAACTTTGCACACACACCAGAGGTGGCGAAAATGCACGTTTGTTATGGGTTTCGGAAGTGGGCGTGGCAAAGTGACTCGATAGCGCCACCTATGCACTTTTGACGCACTGGTCCCCGAGCTACGAATCACGAACTCATACAAAAATTGGCACACACCTCAAACACTGGTAGCAAAAGATTCAAAGTTAATCGGCACACTGCCACTTTAGCTCTCAAAAAAAACATTTTATTGTCAATATCACAACGTTTCGACCGACATGGTCTTCATCAGGTAAAGCATTGCAAAAGGAAGTACTCCAGAAATAGTCAAACAGCTCTACACAGCACCTGCAGTCAATTATCACAATCAGCTAACAAGCCGATAAACAGGAACATTTGCATACAATAATATACATCTAACAATATGAAAAACATACATACCATTACAAACAAACATTTAAAATACAAATGCAAATTCTCACTTCCTATTTTTAACTTCCTGCGGCAAAGTGGCGTTTGCCATTTTCAGGCGTTGTATTTTAACAAACTCCTCCTAGGGATTTTATCGGATCAACACCAAAATTGGGATTTGTCATCTGAAGGCCTTGGCGACGTTAAATTTCGTAGATCTAGAGTTTTCTTCGAAGGGCGTGTCCGTGGCGGCCTCGCAAACTTCGACGATTCATCACGAAACAGGAAGTTAATATAACTCAGCCAAACAATGTCTGATCTGCCTGAAAATTCACATAGTTGATAAGATTCCTCTACTGATGGCATCTACATGCCAATGTTGAGTCACAGTTATAGCGCCTTCTTCTGACAAGAGGAAGTTTGGCATAAATCTGTGATTTTTTCAGGTTATATATATATATATATATATATATATATATATATATATATATATATATATATATATATATATATATATATATATCGGCTTAAATTGCGGCAGTGAGGCCGGATGCGATGTCCCTATCATCGCTGCTTGCAGCTTTAATTTAAATTTATTTTGTGAAATATTCTTTTAAATGTAGTTTGTTGTCATATCATCATGTTATTTCACTCTAATATGCAATGAATTCATTCATAGAAATTAAAACACACTGTTTGATGCTGGTTACTCATTTTATCCCCTACAGTATTTAGAGGAAAACATTGATTACCTGAATGCTCTCAGACGCACCGGACCAAACCGCAGTGTCATTGTTTGACTCTTGCTCAAATAGATCCAGCTCACAAAGATCCAGGATCACTCTCACACCTAAACCAGAGAGCAAATCCATTAGATCTATTAGCATTGCTTTAAATGGACTATAACAGATTTTGCTTCAATTTCTACCAATTGTGGGGATTGTGAAGCATTAGATTATTTCTGTCATGACCACTCTCAGGATTTAGCCTGGTATATGATAATGTTGATGTGTTTGGTCTAGATGGAATAGATGCTATGCTGCTGCTGCTTTGATTATATGGCAAATACTGAGACCTGCTACTTCCATTATAATCACAGACATGCCACGCTGCTGCTGCAAACATAATACAGTACAGTGCCCTGTATATATGAATACACCCCTCACAA